TGACTGTAATAATGGGATCAAGCATATCAGAGATGATGAAGATGGTGCGGAATAGGGCAAGGTTAGATCTGTTTTTCATAAAGTTGTAGCTGACTTGATGGCATGCAACAGCTAATACTACACTGCTAGAATATGTAACACATACAGTGTGGAAGCATCCAACTGCTGATATTATTCTAGATGTTTACTTTCTAATTTTCTCATTCTCAGATGTTCAAAGATCAGATTTATAAAGATACTTTAATAAAAGGTTAATGAAATTAAAATAAAAATTAATTTTGTTATAAGTTGGAGACTACCTGCCAATAAAAAATTTTATTTCATGATTAAAAAAAGATACTTTTACTGAATTATAACAAATTAATGAAATTTTCCAAATGAAAAAATGGATTTAATGAAACTTAAATGTATTTGTTCTAGACAAGTTTCAGATTATCAACTCCTTATCCCTCTACATAAGGACATACCTTGCTTTTAACAGTACTAAATATTTCATTGAACCAAGATATTTACTGTCTCTGAAACTGGAGCACATATGATAATGAATGTCCTATTATAGGTTACTTGGTAGTATCTTTTCCCCGTAAAGGGACAGAAAATAATGGTGACTCTTAAACAGGTGCCTTAGATTGTATGATGAATTACAGAAACTGAAAATAAAAGATATTCAGTTATTAATAAATTCAGAGATTATATAAGGTATAGTGACTTTTATACCTATAACTTAGAAGTGTGTATCTCTGTTAATTTCAATCTAAATTCATCACCAGAATAAAAACAGCAGAACAATATCTAAATGACAGTGAGCAGGAGACAAAGGCCCACATTTAAAAAAAAAAAAAAACAAACACAAAACTATAGATTTATAGAATCTAAAGTTTAAGGAAAATGTTTTTCCCTAGGGATTAAAAACAAAACAAACAAAAAAAAAAACCAAAAAAAACGTTCCACAGCCCAAATGTCCATCAACAAATGACTGGATTGAGAAACTGGTATTCACATGATGGAATACTATGCAACACTAAGGAGCAATTATTTTGAAAACTACTGTATAGTATGGGACAGGCTAGAGAGCATTATGCTGGGTGAACTAAGTCAGGCCCAGAACAAACACTGTATAAAAATTTTTGAAAGATAACCAGTGAGATGTGTATGGATTTACAAAGAGGAAAGGGGAGGGGGCTGGGGCTGAGGGTAAAGAGGGGTTAAAAATCACAAGGTCAAAGAGGTTGGTAGGTGGTGGGAAGGAATGGGGTAAAGCAACCCAATAATATACATGAATGAAACACAATTTTAAAAAAAAGTTGCAGAAAAATTAAAGCAAAAGTTTACCTCATGTGTTTTTGAACATAAAACACAGAACTTTTAATATCTTCTTCCTTGAAAACATGTAAAGTATAGTACTAAGATAGAAGCTGAGGCACATTCATTAGGCTTTTTATCAACGTTGAACATACTGGGAATATAGAGTTTGCTTCACAACTAATTCACCAAGTCCCATCATGCTTTTAATAACAATCTTGAGTGTATTTTTAGATGAAGCAAGGAATCTTTCCAGGCATTTGTTTTCAAAAATTAGATATTTTAATGTTATGTTCATATTCTTTTTGCTTTCTTTCACAGGATTCACTCTTGAGAGAAATGTTATTTTAGATAATAAACAAAAAAGATCTTTAACAACACTCTCATCAATCCATCTTTCCAAATCCTAATACCTTTTAATTCTGAGCATTTCCACATGAGCCCGATCTATTTCTAATATATTTTAGGAAGTGCTGGTGGCCTAGTGGTAAGAAGCTGTGTTGCAATACCAAAGGCACCTGGTTCAAATCCACCAGCAGTTCTGTTGGGACAAGGATGAACAATCTCCTCCCATGTAATTTACTAACTCTGAAAACCTGCTGGAGGGTCAGCTGTAAGTCAGCTGGTGGTTCCAATGACACACAACATCATCACACTTAACAAAATATTTTAACCTCCACAATATTCCCTTGGTCAGGGTAGTGCAAAAGATCTTAGGTTAAGAGAAGAGATATAATAAAACTTGATAGCAAGGTGGCCAATTTTGTATTAATCACTTTTAGAAAATACAGTCCGGCATAGGTTTCTTTGGTGAAGTAGTGAAGGGTAATTATGAAAGGGAAAAATGAATAATGGAGAAAAGATATGATACTTTTAAGTGTATCACCTTAAACAAGAGCATGTATTTCTTTAAAGTTCATTCATGCCTATATATCCCTTTGCAAGCTGAATACACCACAGAATACACACAATAATTTGAAAACTCTACTACAAATTATACTTAGATTCTAAATTTTAAAGATGCATACTTAGTACATTTTTCTAACGAAATTTAAGCATTTCTATAGGTGAAAAGTATGTATTCTAGACTGAGACAATTTTCTTTCCATTCCAAAGAGTGATCAGATCCTTTTACTTATTAAATATCCAAATAAAAATATACTAGTAAAAGATCAATGTCACAAGAATTTTGATAACTAAATATAACAAAATGCACTAATCTTAATGATATAAACGTACTCTTAGAAAATAAAAAATCCCAAATCAACCAACTAGACCTCTGGGGCAAATTAAGTTGGTAATTTATTAAGCTGATAACAATAAAATGTACATAAAACATTAGGGTATAAAAATGGAATTTTTCAAATATGAACATATTGCCATAGTTTTTCCTGCCTTCCTTTATACTTGTAAATGTCTAATGATCTGACCTGTAAGAGATGGTTTAGTAATTTCAAGTCTCTTAAGACAGTTATGTGCTGTCAAGTCGCCTTTGATCTATAGTGTACAGCATCTCTAAACCCTTCCCTGTCCTGACTCAGTCTAGTTCCGACACACCAACCCCACTGCCACAGGTTCTTCATCTCATCTGGGTCTTCCTCTCTGCACTGTCCTTCCACCTTTCCAAGCACAATGTCCTCCTCCAAGGACTGGTCTCTCCTGGCCACATGCACCAAGTATGTGAGACAGAGAGTCAAAATCCTAGCCTCCAAGGAGACTTAGTTTCACCCTCTCCAAGACAGACCTATTTGTTTTCTTGGCATTTCAAGACTCTTCTCCTATACAACTTGAAGCCATTGATTCTTCTGTCATCCTTAGTCACTGTCCAGCTCTCTGAAGCATAACAAGTAATTGTTAAGACCATAGCCTGGATTAGGCACACAACAGTCTCCAGACTGACGTCACTGCTTTCCAGAACTCTGGAAAGTTCCCTGACAACAGATTTTCCCAATGCAATTAATCTTTTCATTTCCTGACTGCTGGTGTTAAGAGTGTTAACTATGGAGCTGAGCAAGCAGTAATTGCTAACAACCTCAATCTCTTTTCCATCTATCATGGTGCTGCCAACTGGCCCAGTTGTGATCATCTTTTTCTTCCTGACGTTGAGCTTCAATCCATATTGAAGACTACAGTCCTTATCTTCTGCAGCAAGCACTTCAGATCTTCTTCAGTTTCAGCAAGATAGCACTTACCTACATAGTATCTACCTATAAAATTCAAGAAAAACTATCTACAAAAGTATTCTAGCCTTAATTTTCATTATACATCATTGCCTTGAAAAAAAAATCTGTACAAAGACTAGAAGATAAAAGAATATATTTATTTTAAAACATTTGTTGTTGATGAGTACCACAGAGTCTGAACCGACCCATAACTGACTGTTTTCAGGGGCAGTTAGTTGCATGGAAGGAGGCTGCCCCACCATCTGGTGCAGAGCAGCCAGTGACCTCTAACCACTTCAGGACCGCAGTACAGCTTCTTGCCACTAGGCCACCAGAGCTGCTAACATTTAAGGAACATTTTTCTCCTTTACAAACAATAAAGTACATAGATTATATATAAATTCTTAAGAACTGAGAATACATGAATGGAGAAAGAGACTAACTAGTACCATTAATTGAGAGCTTACTATATGTATTAGGCCCTGACCTTATTTTCAAATATATAATTCAACCTTCAAACATTTGTAATTTGGGTACTTTTAATCTCATTTTACAAATGAGAAACTGAGGCATAGAGAAGTCATTCAACTAGTAAATGGTGGTACCAGAATTTCTTAACTTCTGAAGCTTGTATACACTTAAAACCCTTTCCATCTTATTTTTTAACAAACAAACCTGGGTATGACTCAAATTACTTTCCTTTTCAGGTAATATCAATTTAACATTTTTACCATATTATGACTTCAAAACATGGAAATCTACATGTTCTAAAAATTTTTTTTTAAATGTTGGGATATTCCCTGGATGAAATTAGGAGCTGTTCTCTTTGCAATAGAGGAAAATATCAAATTGCTAGTAGTTATTTTCCCGGACATCAGGAAAACTGACTACGCAATCCTGGAAGATAAAAAGAAGTTCAGACTCAGGCCATCCTAATCTAGCTATGTTTCAAAAGATCTATCCTTTACTCTTCATTTAAATGAAAACAGAAAAACCTTTTTAAAAGCCAAAATGATCTTCCCTTTCAGTGTAGTTTTTTTTCTTTTTAAATTATGATATAGTATGCAAGGTGAACAACAGCTACAAAGAATATGAACATATAAAATTTTTATTCTCTTTCTACTTATAAACAAATAAAAAGTAGTGTAGGTCAAAGTATGGCTGCCTATTTAATTTTAAAAAGCTGTTTCCAAAAGACAATTTATCTATGTTTATGAAGCATTAATTGTACATTTTAGCACACAACAAACTCACAACATAGCTAGAAAGATTAAAGATTTTATTTCAAAATGTTGGAAAAACATGGAATTTAAATCCACGGAACCTGTACATCTTCTGAAATGTGGTAGGCACTACCAAAGAGCTAACTATTGCTAATTTCATTACCATATTTCTTCTCTAATACCAACATCTGATATGGTAAGACATACCAAATCACACTAAACCATCCACTGGGAGTTAGAATTAATTATATGAGTAATAATTTTGTCCAAAATGTTCCTGACATTAGAAGTTTACAGCTGAATTTCAGAAATGTTAACAAAAGTATCTTCCTTTTTTGCCTGGCGGTGTTTGAGTACTGCTGTACTGCTGGCTTATATCCGCTACAGATATTGGTTCAAGGCCAGCCCAAGGGTCTTCAAGCATTGAAGGCTTGAAATAATTTTCCACCTCATTAGACAGTCTTTTTTCTCTATCACGCCCTGATCCAAATGGAGTGGATGTCCTTGGAGAACCCTTTAAAAAAAAAAAAAATCATCAGTTAAAAAAACACTTAGTAGGGATATTTGGCACTTTCTTCTCATAACAGCTCATGGAGATTACATTGTCACTTTAAAAAACTGTGACCCCAAAGATGTACAACTTCAAAGTCGATGCTTTAAAAACTAAACCAAGTCTGTATACACATCTATCCATAATTTCATTGTTTCTTTTTAGAATAACGTCAAGATGCTTGCACTGTTTCTATCCAAGATTTCCGCCCCACCCCCACCCCCACCCCCCAGCTTTGGAAGAAGGCGGCCTGCTTAGCAAACACAAAGTTGTAAAACCAGCAGTTTTACAATTAAATATAAACCATAAGACCGCCTAAACACACTAGAAGTTCTTCACTATCTATCTACTTTTTCTTGAGAGGACTTGGAAAACATAAGCTGGTGTAGTTAGTAAACAGCCAAAGGCAAATAGCAGCAGCCTGTAACCCCGACGAAGCCGGGGCCCTTCCTCCTCTCCACGCTGAGGGCAGAGTTCTGGCCAAGACCAGTCCTGAGCAAGAACTAGAAAATAGTGTTTTGACTAAAACCAAGAAGTCTTTGGAGTTAGAGTGTACGAAGTAAAGATCGGACTGCCACTTTCGCCATGTAACTAAGAAAACAACTGCATGTCTCGGGGAGCTCTGGTGGCCCAGTGGGTGCGGGCAGAGCCGCTCAGCCTGAGAGGAGCAATCTCCGCCGAGCGACTCACAGCCTCGGAAAACCCGCCGGAGAGCCGGCTCAGAGTCACTTCCGACTCAGCGGCAACACACCACCACAAACAACGACTTAACCTCTCAGTGACTCAGTTAACTTATCTGCAAAACAGGGTTAGTACTTCACCTCGAAGACTAAGAGAAACTCATTCCCAGAAAGGAGGACTACCGTGAGAGCCAACGCTGGAAGACATTACCTGGAGGTGGATCTGCTGTCCTGGGGAGTAGCCGAATTGCTGCTGGCACCCTGCAGGGGACTTGGAGTAGGAGCTAGGGTAGCCACCAGGGGATGGGGACCCGAACCGGCTCCCCGGGAAGCCGCCGCCATGTCGTGGAGAGTGGCTGCTCCCATACGCCTTGGAACGCGGCCCATAGGGCGACGTGTGGTGCGGACTCCCGTAAGCCTCCCGAGGGGAAGGCGGCCTTGGCCCGCTCCCACCCGGGGTGCCCCGGAAGCCGCTCCAGCCACCCCACCCTCCTACACCAGGACCAGGGTAAGGAGGGGTTGGGGGTCGAAAGTTGGGCCGCTGCATATCAGGAGCGGAAGACTTCACCGTGGCGTCTTCCCGCGGAAAATGTCCGAAAAGTGCTGGCCAGGGACCTGGTAGTACCCTATTAAAACAGTCCCCGGATCGCCAACCCCAGAGAGCACTTTGGTTCGGGTGTCACAAATGTCCCGGAAGGGTGGGAAGATTCGGGGGCTTTATTGAATTAGATGGCGAATGGACGAATTTAAATCAGGGACACACCCACCTAAGGAGCTTTTGGTTAATAATCAAAATCTGTAAGAGGATTAGGGCGAAAAGAGATCAAGGAGTACACATTTTTTCATTGGATGGGCCGGAAGGAGGAGCCTATCCCCGCCCAGGTCCCTGTCTATCCTCGCCAAGGCCCGCCTCGGCCTCCCGCCAAGCAATACACCGCTCCCCCCCAAACCCCACCTCTAGGGTGACTTCTCCCCGCCAGCCTATTCCCGCCCCGGCCGCCCGATTCCCAGCCTTGAAGTGTCACCCCCCCTCCTCCAGCCAGCCTATCCTCGCCCTGGCCGCCAGGCAGTCCCTTTGCCCCAAACCCGCACCCAACCTCCAGTCCTGGAGTGTCTCCTCCTCGCCTGATGCTCCACCTCCAGCCAGCCTGTCCCCGCCCCGAACCTCCAACCCTGGGGTGACTCCTCCCCGCCCCAATGCTCCAGCCAGCCAGCCTGGGTCTGCCCAGGCCGCCAGGCCAGCCACTTGGCCCCGCCCTGGCCCCCAGGCCCGGGGAGAGGCCTTCTTGCCCTCACTGACCTGCAGGGCGTTTCTCTCTTTTCTCTTTCAGTGTAATTTTTTTTTTTTTAAATTATGATATAGTATGCAAGGTGAACAACAGCTACAAAGAATATGAACATATAAGATTTTTATTCCCTTTCTACTTATGTTGTTTGTTGTTGTTATGTGCCGTCGAGT